CCGCGGTCGATGGGGCCGTCGACGCCGAGCTCCTTCGCCACCTCCACGTAGGGCCCCCGCCACGGGTCGGCCATCGCGGCGACGACGCACGCGGCGTCGCCCGCGCCCCTGAGATGGCCCTTGACCAAGCGGGCCACCTGGCTCTGGGGCACCTCTTTCGCGAGAACATGGGGGCACTGGCTCGGGTCCGCCTTGGGCAATCGGAAGATGTCTCTACTCTCCTGCTCGACGGCCACCCGGGAAGACTTGCCTAGGTTCGTTGAGACCGCGAGAACATCACTGTCGGGGCCCGAATCGCCGAGCGCGGCGACCCCGGCTCGCCGCTCGCGCAGACCGCAGGACTCAGGATCACCAGTTCAGTGACCCACCTGGCCGCGGGCCTTGCAACAAGGGGCACGCGTGCCAAGGATCATACAATGACGATGTGGGTCCATGGGAGATGGAGAAAACCAGGGATCGCGAGGGAGGCAGTCCTTGGCAGGCGCCGGAATAAGGAGAGGAGTGCAGGGGGGGAGCGGGGGGGGTGGCCCACGGTCGGTCGGAATAAGGGGACGGGGGCGCAGGGGGGGAGCGGTGGGGGGGCCACGGTCGGTCAGAATAAGGGGAGAGGGGCGCAGAAGAGGAGCGGGGGGAGTGGCCCACGGTCGGGCGGAAGAAGGGGACGGGGGCGCAAGGGGGGAGCGGGGGGGGGCCCACGGTCGGTCGGAATAAGCGGAGGGGGGCGCAAGGGGGGAGCGGAGGGGGTGGCCCACGGTCGGTCGGAATAAGGGGAGGGGGGCGCAGGGAGGGAGCGGGGGGGGTGGCCCACGGTCGGTCGGAATAATGGGAAGGGGGCGCAGGGGAGAAGCGGGGGGGGTGGCCCACGGTCGGTCGGAATAAGGGGAGGGGGGCGCAGGGGGGGAGGGGGAGGGGCCAGCACGACCACCAGCACGATCACCAGCACAACGGCCAGCAACACGACCGCGAGCACGACCACCAGCACGACCACCAACACGACCACCAGCACCTCCAGCACGGCCAGCCACCAGCACGACCACCAGCAGAACCACCAGCACGACCACCAGCACGACCACCAGCACCTCCACCAGAACGGCCACCAACACGACCGCCAGCACGACCACCAGCACAAGCACCGGCACGCCCAGCCACCAGCACGACCACCAGCACAACCACCAGCACGACCACCAGCACGATCACCAGCACGACCACCAGCACCTCCACCAGAACGGCCACCAACACGACCGCCAGCACGACCACCAGCACAAGCACCAGCACGACCACCAGCACGACCACCAGCACGACCACCAGCACGACCAGCCACCAGCACCTCCAGCACGGCCAGCCACCAGCACGACCAAGCACGACCACCAACACGACCACCAGCACCTCCAGCACGGCCAGCCACCAGCACGACCACCAGCACAACCACCAGCACGACCACCAGCACGACCACCAGCACGATCACCAGCACTCCACCAGAACGGCCACCAACACGACCGCCAGCACGATCACCAGCACAACCACCAACGCGACCAGCCACCAGCACGACCACCAGCACAACCGCCAGCATGACCACCAGCACGACCACCAGCCCAGCACGACCCCAGCACGACCACCAGCACGACCACCAGCACGACCAGCCAGCAGCACGACCACCAGCTCGACCACCAGCACCTCCCAGCACGACCACCAGCACAAGTACCAGCACGACCACCAGCACGACTGCCAGCACCTCCACCAGAACGGCCAGCAGCACGACCACCAGCACGACCACCAGCACGTCCACCAACCACGACCACCAGCACGGCCGCCAGCACAACCACCAGCACGACCGCATTATGGGCACACGGTCGGTCGAAATAAAGCAGTGCGAGATCACACCGGTAGGTATGATGATTAACCTCATTCTTCTTATCATTCTTAGTCTTCTTCTTATTCAACGTTTGCAGCTCGCCGGCGAGCTCGCGACCCCTCTCCGGCCTCGGGGGCGGTCTGTCCACAAGGGCCACAATGCCTTTGGCGCCAGTGATTCCGCCGCGGCATCGGCCCTCACCATGTTTGCCGCCACGGCCACCGATCATTTTATCATTTTGCTGTAGGCGTCCCCGATGATTTCGAGCGTCTCCTGGAGTTGTGACACCTGCAGCGCGGCCTCCCCAAGGGTCGCCGACTGGTCCGCCGAGAAGTCGGCGTCGGCGCCCTCGATCTCGGCGGCGAGGCCTTGAGCTCCTGGCCGACGAAGCCATGGACATCGCTGGCCTCGACCTCCTTGATCTCGTCATCGTTCTGGCCGTCCTCGTCGTCCTCGCGGTCGATGTGGATGATTTCGCCCCCGGGCTTTTCACCTGGCTCGTGCTCCGTGATTGGAGCGCCTCCCCACTTGACGTGCCCTCGCCGCCTCCCTTGGGTCCCCCAGGACCACGATCGCCTCCGCATGGCTGGAATTTGTTTCGCGCGGTGGTTGGGCCCCCCGAGCCTCCATGACGCTCATGTATGGGAAAAGCCTGGTCACTACTTTCGTGATATCCGAGAATGTGTATCTCTCGTCGGGAAGCGCTGCCGCAACTCGCCCACCACGCTCGCCTGATAAGCATTTTTTGGAGGAGCCACCTATCGAGAACGTCGTCACTGCTGGCAATCTGAACTCCATCATCCTCCAACCGCTGGGTGCCTTCCTCGAACCTCGGGATGAAGTTTGTGATGCTCTCTGCCCACGCTTGCAGCGCATCGATTCAAAGAACTCATGCAGGGTCTCTCCTCGTCGCACGGCCCACTGGGAATTGAAGGCCTGGCACCACGCCGCCAGCACGTTTTTCATGCCTCGCACGGAATCGGTCGGAACTGCTTCCTCTGTGATGTAACCGTCTCCGTCAAGCTGCTGTGGTACTGCGGGACTTAGCTGACACTCATCACGCTGGATCATCATGCCGACGCGCCCCGCGGCGCCGTTCAGCCTCAAATCGAGGCGGGCTGCCACGCAGTTCACCGACAAGTTAGCGCCGCAGGCCCAGATCTCAGCATCGTCGCGAAACTTGTTTTCCGACCTTGTGAAGCCTCATCCCAGACCGGGATCGGGCTGTAGCCCTCGTCACATCTTCCTGGGAATGACAGTTCATCCCGATCACGGTTTCGGAACGCGATGGGTCCGACTGGACTCTTGGTAGCTGTCGCCCAGCGCAAGCTGAACTTGCAGTGATCCTGCTGCCTGACCCCGACGAACACGTAATGTTGCTGCATGGCGCTGTCGAACACGTAATGTTGCTCGACACTGTCGAAGCCGTGCGCTGTGGATCGCCTGCCGAGGCAGGTCCCACTACCACTGGTGGAGCCGCGCCAGCGGATATGAAATCGATGGAGAAATCGTCATATGCGCGCACGGCGAGCATGGGGCGTCGCGACGCCCGTGTCTCGCTGGTGCTTTCGTAGAGGGCTGGACGGTAAAATGATCAAGGGCCCCGTCGGGCGACGGGGCCAAACGGCGGCGGAGGGATCTGGTGTGTGTGTATATATATACATATATATATATAGAGAGAGAGAGAGAGAGAGCACCTGAGCAAAGCCAGCGGGGGAGAGGGGATTGGAGCAAGTAGGAACGCTATGCCGTGCGATGGCTCTCTCATATTATGGGCGGCATTGTCGTGGGATCGACGATTGACGATCGCAGGTCGATAGGCAAACGGAAAAAATAAACAAGGAATCGGAGGACTCGGAGGACGGAGAGGAGGGAACGCGGAAGGAGGTAGGGTAGAAGAGGAGAAAGAGCAGAAGGAGGGAGGAGAAGAACGAAGAGGATGGGGAACATGATAACACCTGATAAGTCGCCTTCCGATGCTCAGTTATGATCTTGGCACCCGTGGGCCCCTAGGAGTCGGCGGTGCGGCGTGAGGAAGCGACTCGAATCGTCGGAGATCTGGGAGAGGGGGAAGAGGGCGAGGGGAGGGGGAGAAGGGGGAAAGGGGTAGGAGGGATGGGAAGGAAGGGAGGAAGGCGGAGAGGGAGGAGGAAACGAGGGGAGGAGAGGGGGGGAGGAGGAGGGGAGGGGAAGGAGGGTGGATGGGGAGGGGAAGTGGGAGGGAGGGGGAGGAAGAGGGGAGGGAAGGGGAAGGAGGGTAGGGGAGGGAGGGAGGGGGAGGAGGCAAGCTAGGTGCGCTCGCGTCATTGTCTGACGTCATACCCCTTCCTCCCATCCCTTACCATGGCGTAGACGTCCTCTCTATTCGCACAATCGGATGTCGAGCAGGGCAATGGTCGCGAGAGAATACGCGATGCATGGTAGAACACGGCATGGCATCGGCAAAGCGTATCGTACCATAGCATGGCATGGCATTGCGCAGTCAAGCATTGCATCACAAAGCGTTGCAACGCAAAACATGGCATCGCGCAGCGGCGCAAAACACAACACCGCACAACATGTCATGGCATGGCGCCGGGTCCCTTGGTGGGTAAGTGGATCGCTTTCGAGAGGTATGAGCCAGTCTGGAGTCGTGGCTCCATGTCTAGCTCCTTGGGCCCCCCGAAAAGCTCCACACAAGGCGGGGCTGATGGAGAGCACCCGCTGGCTCTGCTTTCAACATCTCATTCTCAAAGCAGAAACGGGGCTCCTGCTTCCCAAAGTGGGGGTTTCTGCGGCCCCAAAAGTCAACGAATCGACACCGAATGTGGAATCATTTCTGATGTTTTTTGTTTCTGTGTTTTGTTTAGACGTTCGGGCCTAGTTGGAAGGACCGATAACGCCCGCGCTGCAGCGGGAGCACGATTTGGAACAATCAGAAGCGCAGAAATTGGGCCAGCGCATCAACGGGAGCAGCATGTTGGGAACAAAGACACGAAACAGAACAACAAAAATATGCCCTGATAATCCTGAGTGTAGGAAAACACGCGGGGGGGGGGGGGCGAACCTCTTCCAAACGTCATCAGGGGAGAGAGGAGACTGGCCTTTTGCGGAGGAGGAGGCAGCACGGGGGCCGGCCCCTGGCGAAGCCCCGCCCGCCGCCCCCCGCCGTACACGTAGAGGCCCCGCGGCGCCCGCGCGCCGCCGCCCGGCTTCTGCGCGGGGGCGGCGAGGGCGAGGCGCAGCTCCTCGCGAGCGCGCGCGCGCGGACGGCCGGCTGCACGCAGAGGTCTGTGGAGAAGCCCTGGAGGCCTGGCGCGGCATCTGGAGACCCAATGCACGCCTCCTCCTCCTCCTCCTCCTCCTCCTCCTCCTCCTCCTCCTCCTCCTTCTCTTTCTCCTCTTTCTCCTCCTCTTCCTCCTCCTCATCCTCCTCCTTGTTCCCCCTCTTGCGGCTCTGTGGGGCTCCTTTGGGCCGTCTTGGTCAGAGGGGGGCGGCCACGACCCCTCGTCGGACCTACATCGGATCCGCGTCGAATTCACACCAGACTTACGCCGCAGCATCGCCGCGCGAGCGTCGACCCAGATCTTACGGAGCGGACGTGTGGACTGGATGATACAACTACTGCAACTTCGGCCCCTGGGGGGCCGTCCTCGGGCTCCAGGGCCATCCTAAACAGACCTGGGACGAGCACTTCCCACTTGGGAACGGGTCGGGAACTCTGGGGCCGCAGATTGAAAAAGACACATCGGCAGATGTCATGGATCGCAAATTCTGAAGGTTCATGTCGTGACGGCGTCGGCGCTGGCTTCTGACACCGCGTGGATCGCTCAGCCTTCAACAATCGCGGCTCTCCGACCGCGCGGATCGCTCGGTATCGTCCGAGCCTGGGCCACTGGCGGCGTGCAGCGTTGAGGGCCCGCGCTGAGGTCGCCGACACGTCGACACGGCACGAGCCTACAGTACCCCGAGACACTGTGCGAGAACGCCCTCAAAGATACCTGCACGGTAGCAGGGCATCGACACTTCACACCAGCACGAAGGGCTACAGGATCAACACGGCTCGCGAGAAAGGAATGGCACTGGGCAGAAACGACCCTCGGTGCGAGGCTTGAGGATCGCTGCGTGCGACGCAACAGCAGCTACGCGGGAGGCACATGTACCACCGACACCGTGCCTGGCCAGGGCCATCCAGGGCCCTGGCATGGTGAAGACGCCCCCGTGGCCAGAGGCCAGGAGGGTCCACACACCATCCTGGGGCCTCAAAAACTGCCTCCCAGAGCTCCCCGAGAGGCCAGCCGCGAGATCCCAATCAACATCCATGAGGCCTCTGACCCACCACCCAGGCACGGTGGCGAGGCCGAAGACCATTAGATATTGAACGCTTTGCAGGAGTGCAAGGTAAAAGTGCAGACCACGTGGACGCCCATGTTGAAAAGGTTACAGCGGCGTCACGCCGCAGGACAGGACTTGGATTGGCCGAACGGGCAGGGATACAAGGACACCCCCGTGAAAAAAACGCTTCCTCACAGTGGACGTTGACCGCCGCCTCCCATAAAAAGGCTGTGGCAACTTGAGGCGTCGATCTTGACCGTTAACGTTGACCTTGACCGCAATCATTGCTGGTGACGTTGGCTGTTGACCGTTGACGCAGACTGCTGACGTTTGACGCTGACGTCGGTCGTTGCGTTGACCAAACCTGGACCTGGACTGCATCTTTTGATTACAAGTGACGCCAACCCTAGCAACTCGAAGGTGGGCGCTAAGACGAAGCCAGGAGGAGCATAGAATCGGGTGAGGATAAATTCAAAATCTCTGAGATCCAGCGGCTCTGAGGGATGTCTCGGGCGCCGCGGCCTTCTAAGAGCTTTCTGAAACGCCCTGAGAGCGTTCCGGAGAGCCCTGGAGCGTATTTGTCCTCCTAGCCTTAGGTCAGGCATGTCCCCCTTCAGGCGGATTACGAAATGAAAACTAGTAACAGTCAAACAAGTGTTCAAACATGCTCACCGATAATGGAAGAATCGTCCCCGGACTATTGGTGACTATTTTTGAATATGCCTCCTGTACGGGGACGTGCCCGACTTAATCCCAGCGGCGCCTCCAGGCGCGAGAGGCACTTCACCTGGAAGCTGTCAGGGAGGAAGCCCTCCTCCTGACGCGCGGCGAGCGGAAGCGAGGCAGGGGCGGCGAGAAGGGGGGGGGGGGGGAAAGGCAGGGGGTCGGCACGCGGGGAGAGCGGAGGGCGCAGCGCCAGAGCGGCGGCAAGGCGAGACGAGGAGAGGGGGAAAGAGGGGGGAGGGGAGCACCGGAGCGCCTCCTCCTCCTCATCCTCCTCCTCCTCCTTCTCCTCCTCCTCCTTCTCCTCCTTCTCCGTCCTCCCTTCCTGCTCCTCCTTTATTTATCTCCCCTCCCCTCTTCCTCCTCCTCCTCCTCCTTCTCCGTCCTCTTCCCCAGCTCCTCCTTCATTTCTCTCCCCTCCCCTCCTCCTCCTCCTCCTCCTCCTCCTCCTCCTCGCATCAGGGAGCCGCCCGACGGACGAACAGCCCATCGAGGAGAGCCCTCAGGAAAACACGACGTGGAAGAGGCAGGGCGGGAGCCTCGTGTGCCGGAAGAGGCGGTGGCACGGCGGGCGAGCACGCAATGGCTAGGTCCTCACCGTCCCTCACTGCCACACCCTCCGGCCGCCACCTGAACACCTGGGGATAGGCGGAGAAAGGGGGAGGGACAGCAGGAGGTGGAGGTGGAGGAACGACCCCCTCCCCCCCGTCGCCCCGAACAGCGCGACCTCACATAAACCTCCGCAGCCCTCATAAAAAAAACCACAGAGAAACTCCGAAGCTCTCAAAAAACAGCCCCAAACCTTGCAGAGCCTCCTCCTCCTTTTTCTTCCTCCCTCCTCCCCCCTCCTCCCCCTCCCCTCTTCCTCCTCCACCTCCTCCTCTTTCGTCCCTTCTCCTCCTCCCTTCTCTTTCCTCCTCGTCCTCCTCCTCCTCATCATCCTCATCCTCCTTCTCCGTCCCCTCCTCCTCCTCCTCTCCTCCTCCTCCTCCCACCACCACCACCACCACCACCACCACCATCATCATCATCACATCATCATCATCATCATCATCATCATCATCATCATCATCTCATCCATCACCACCACCACATCATCCATCATCATCATCATCATCAGCAGCAGCAGCATCATCATCATCATCATCATCTCATCATCATCATCATCACATCATCATCATCACCACCACCACCATCCATCATCATCATCGTCATCATCATCATCATCATCATCATCATCATCATCATCATCATCATCAGCATCATCATCATCATCATCATCATCATCATCATCATCATCATCATCATAAACATCATCATCATTCCTCCTTCTCTCTCTCTCTCTCGCTCCCCAGAGGGGGCCGGGGGCCAATGGAGTCCTCGCCCACCCGCGCGCGCGCCGAACGCGCGCCCGCCGCCGCGGCACCTAGAGGCCAAGACCCCTCCACCCAGAGGAGAGGAAGGACGCCTCCAGAGGGCCTCAGAGGAAAAGAAGAGAGCGGGGGCCAAGGCCAAAAGGGCACTCCATTGGCCACGAGGAGGAGGAGGAGGAGGAGGAGGAGGAGGAGGAGGAGGAGGAGGAGGAGGAGGAGGAGGAGGAGGAGGAGGAGGAGGAGGAGGAGGAGGAGGGGGGGGAGGTGCCTCTCGGGGGGGCACGAGAGGGAAGGAGGCCTCAGGAGGCCTCAGGAGGCCTCAGGAAGCCTCTAGGCACAGAAAAAGGCTGGCCCAACACGACGCCGCCCAGTATGGGCGCCAGCGCCGCCGCAGCCCAGCCGAGGTTTAGCTGGCTGGGCGGCGCCATGCTGGGGCCAGCACTGCCAGGATGAGGTCGGCAACCATCAACCCGGGGCCGTGCCCCCCCCCCCCCAACAGCAACAGGAAAACAAGGGGGAAGGGAGGACATAACCGCGAAACGAACGAGAGAGGGAAGCGGGGGGGGGGGCGCATACTTCCCAACAAACCCCTACCGCGGCCGGGGCCCACTCTCAGCGCCTTGTGGGCGCACTCGGGGGCCGCCGAAGGGCAGCACGGCGCCGCGGCGCAGCCGCCGCCACGGCCCAGGCGGCCCCGCTGCTCCAGGAGCGTCGCCTCCAGCGCCTCCTGCGGCGTCGCCTGCAGCTGCCGCAGGCTGCCCGCCGCGGAAACCACCACGCCGTTGGGCTCCCTGGCGGTGTGGCGCCCAGGTGCATCCTGGATGAAGCGCTTTACCTCGGGCGCCCCCAGCATACCCTCAGTGAGGTGCAGCGTGGCGGCCTGGCGCCTCCGCCAGGCAGCTTCGACCAGGTCCAGGGCCACCGTCGTGGCGTTGCTGTCGCGGCTGACCGCCCGTGCTTTGGCCTCGGCGGCCAGGCGTGGGCACCATGGGTCGACGCGCGACCTGTAGACGAGATCGCCTCAGTCGCACTCCCAGGTAGACCCTGGAGAAGACGATGATATCGCTGCATCCTGTAGCAGTCCTGTGCCAGTTGCCTCTCGTCCCGAGGCTGGTGTCCAGGTTGAAGTAGTCGTCATCGAAGCTCGTCTCGAAGTACTCGATGCCCCGACTCTCGAGGCCCACTCTGGCTCGGTCCCTGCTTTGCTGGAAATGCTGGTCGCCGTCAATGATCCATGCCACGCCCGCGCTGCTGCTAATGTGAGCCCCCCTTGGATTGTACAGATCGCACCGCTGCGGAGATGGTGGAAGAGCGTCAGCTCTCGGGGAGTTGACGACGACACTTGGCAGCTGCTCTCGTGGTCGTAAAGGTGGCCGACGTGGAGCGGGCTGCCGTGCTTGTCGAATTGCAAGTCTCGTGGCTTCATCCTCCCTGAACCCCTCGCCGCGCAGCTGCTTCATAAGCTTGGCATCATCCTCGATGAGCTGCCTCATCGTGTCCACGGGTATGGTGTCATCGTTGTCGATGTAATGCTCCATGCAGCCTTTGGCGCGGTGTCGGAAGTGTCGCGCTAGGCGTACTCGAATGCGAAAGTCCGTCCCGCACGCCCTGCACACACTGCCAACGGCAAACCTCTGTGCGTCGAGGTGAGGGAGGTGGGCCTTTATCCTGCGGGCACGCATGCTGGCCTCGGTGGGGAAGACTTTCTCGCAATCGTAGCATGCGTATACTTTCCTTTGCTCGATGCTGGCGCTGGTGGCGGCGTCGATGCCCCGATGGTGGTCGCGGCTTTCTCGGCACCGTTCCTGCGGATGCCCCGATGCGGTCACGCTGTGCCCCCACATGTCGCGCCTGCACTGCTCCACCAAAACCCTCTTATATGGCTCGAATGTTTTGCGCGCGACTTTCGCCATTGCCTTGGGCCCACTCTTGCACAGCGCGACCCATCCTGGTAGGTATTTCAGGATCAGGCAGGCCCGCGCCACCGTGGTATCTCGTTACCCGACGCAAGTCGTTGATGGCCCCCTGGTGCCACGCGTCGCCATGCTGCAAGCCAATCTCCACCAAGTACTTGAGCGTGGCGGGCCCGCGACGGATCACCGTGCTGAAGTACCTATGTCTGCGAGCCAGTGCCACAGCAGAAAGGTCGGCCCTTTTGGTGTCGTAGTATACCTTGCTGCCTGGGATCTGGTCGGACGCCTTCCGATCGTGCCCGGCTGAGGCGGCAGCTCGGTAGCCCTTGGCAAGGGCCGTCTGCAGTCGCTTCTTGTCGCTGATGCTCATTTCACTCCGCAGCTCCGCCTGGTAGGTCAGCTTGGCATTGGCGAACGCGCCCGCGTGCTTGGCAAGTTGTTCTGGCTCGGCGCGTGCGCGCTTGATGACGGATCTCCCGATGGGGTCAAGCGCGCGCCGATGCGCCTGGATCCCGTGCTGCACCTCTGGGCCCCGCGCCCCATCACTGCAGACCATCGTGCCCATGCGCTTGCAAGCGTAAACGACGCCGATGCCGATGTCCCAGGCGGCGGTGACAACCTTCGCGCTGTCTCCGTAGAGGCGGTAGCGGATGCGTTGCGACTGGGGCCCGTGCGCTGTCACTAGATAGGCTGTCTTGGCTGGGCCGAGGTTGATGTCCATCGCATGCGCCCTGAAAGCCTCGTAGACGATGCCACCCAGGGTCTGCATCTTGACCAGCAGTTGGGACATGTCCCTGGCTGACGTGGAGGAGGTCATGTCGTCCGCGCGTGATGTCGCCCATGCGTTGTGGCACGTGAGCGCCTTCTATATGCGCGGCGGTCTTCTCTGCGTCGACGTGCTCGCCGAGGCGGATGCCGAGGCATGCTCGCTTCATCGCCTCTCTGATTTTGCAGACTGGTCTGGTAAATGCCAGTCCGCCGGCGGTGATCCTGGCCGAGCCCCCTGATAGAAGTTCCCGTTGAGGCCTGCCATGGCATGTCGAACCACGTCATCTGCTGCGCCTCCGCGGCAAGGGCAAGTAGATGTTCGTCGAGGCAGTGCTGCCCAAGAAATGGTCACAGTGCCCAGAAATCGTCGGGATGGCTGAGCGAGGACATCCTCAAGAAATGGTCGCAGTGCCTCTGGAATTTGCTGGCTGCCAAAGATTGCGTCGATGTCGTTCCCGCGCTGCGGCACTGCAAAGATGAGTTGCCGGACAATCCGGTTGAAAGCGGCCCTGAGGTCCACAAACAGGAAGGCGACTGTTTGGCCCGACGCTCGAGCCAATTGCTGCAGCAACCTCGCTTGATGCGTGGCCGTCGGTGCACCGCGTTCTTTGATGCCGCCAACCTGGCTGTCGCACAGCATCAGGGCTGCGACTTCGCGATGGCGGCCCCGAAGGGAAGCGTAGTGGTGCTTGGCCACTGCGCTGCATAGCGCAATAGACCTGCACGCGCCGGCGGCATCCGACTTCCCTCTCGGGATTTCCGCCAGGATGGCGCGTTTGAAAGCAAGGGGCCCCTGGAGGCGAAGGGGGGCTTTGGTGCATAGGGCATGGGCCTCCGCTGCGTGTCGGACTGGGTCCATCGACAAGCTGTCGTACGGTATCCCGTCTGCACCTGGCGCCCGCTTCTTCTCCCCTTTGCTGAGCGCGATCTGGGCGTCGAGCAGGGTGGGCAAATTCTCGACGGAGAAGCCCTGGCAAGCGAACTCGGCAACCTCGTAGGCGTCGCACGCAGCCGCGACACTCTTGCGGGCGCCTAGCGAG